ATAAACAGTATGCCTATGCACTCTGCACCAGGCCCGGATTCTTGGAACTCCATATTCATCAAGAACTGTAAAAAACCACTATCGCAGGCCCTTCACATTCTTTGGAGACAAAGCCTAGAAACTGGCGTTATTCCTGACATACTAAAAACAGCAGAGATAGCACCACTCCATAAAGGAGGAAATAAGGCAGAGGCAAAAAATTACAGACCGATAGCACTAACATCGCACATCATAAAAATTTTTGAGAGAGTGCTAAGAAGTAAGATCACAAAATACATGGAATCACAGCATCTCCATAACCCCGGGCAACATGGTTTCAGAACAGGGCGCTCTTGCCTGTCACAGTTGCTGGACCACTATGATATGGCATTAGATGCTATGGAAGACAGACAAAACGCTGATGTAATTTACACAGATTTCGCAAAAGCCTTTGACAAATGTGACCATGGTGTTATTGCACACAAAATGCGCTCAAAAGGAATTACCGGAAAAATAGGCAGATGGATCTACAATTTCATGACTAACAGAACCCAATGTGTAATAGTCAACAAAATAAAATCCGGTTCATCAATCGTGAAGAGCTCAGTCCCCCAGGGTACCGTGCTTGCTCCAGTACTTTTTTTTCATCCTCATATTGGACATAAACAAGGACACAAAATCTATAGTACTGTATCTTTCTTTGCACTTGACACTAGGTTTTTTTATGAGAGTAGACAACATAGAGGACACGGCAAACTTCCAATTAGATGTAAATCAGGTCTTTCTATGGGCTACAGAAAATAATGTGGCGTTTAATGAAGATAAGTTCCAGCTCATGCGCTACGGAAAAAATGAAAATATAAAAACGGAAACCACGTACAAAATGCAGTCAAATCATAACATAGAACGAAAAGGCAATGTAAAAGATTTGGGTGTACTCATGTCGGAAGATCTTACGCTCAAAGAACACAATAAAGTAGCCGTCACAACTGCAAGAAAAATGACAGGTCGGATGACAAGAACCTTTCACACTAGAGATGCTATACCGATGATGATACTTTTCAAGACGCTAGTGCTCTCTAGAGTGGAGTACTGCTGCACAATGACAGCACCTTTCAAAGCTGGAGAAATTGCTGACCTGGAGAGCGTGCAGAGATCCTTTACTGCTAGAATCCACTCAGTAAAACATCTAAACTATTGGGACCGACTAAAGAGCCTAAATCTGTATTCTCTTGAGCGCAGGCGGGAGAGATACATAATAATCTATACGTGGAAAATATTTGAGGGGCTGGTCCCAAACCTGCACTCAGGAATAACACCACATGAGACTAGAAGGCATGGCAGGATGTGCAGAATACCCCTGTTGAAAAGCAAAGGTGCAACAGGTACTCTGAGAGAGAACTCTATCAACATCAGAGGCCCGAGACTGTTCAACACGCTTCCACTACACATAAGAGGTATAACTAACATCAGAGGCCCGAGACTGTTCAACACGCTTCCACTACACATAAGGGGCATAACTGGCCGACCCCTCACAGTGTTCAAGAGAGAACTATCAACATCAGAGGCCCGAGACTGTTCAACACGCTTCCACTACACATAAGGGACATAACTGGCCGACCCCTCACAGTGTTCAAGAGAGAACTGGATAAGCACCTCCAAAGGATACCTGATCAACCAGGCTGTGATTCATATGTCAGGCTGTGAGCAGCCGCGTCAAACAGCCTGGTTGACCAGTCCAGCAAACGAGGAGGCCTGGTCATTGACTGGGCCGTGGAGACGCTGAGCCCCGGAACAACTCCACGGTAAGGTAACCTAACCTAACCAAGTACTAACTTAACCTTACCTAACCTAACCTAACCAAGTCCTAACTTAACCTGACCAATACTAATCAAGTCCTAACTTAACCTTACCTAACATAACCAAGTCCTAATTTAACCTTACCTAACCTAACCAAGTCCTAACTTAACCTTACCTAACCTAACCTAACCAAGTCATAACATAATCTTACCTAACCTAGCCTAACTAAGTCCTAACTTGACCTTACTTATTCTACCCTAATCAAGTCCTAACTTAACCTTACCTAATATAATCTAACCAAATCTAACTTAACCTAACCTAACCTAGCTATAGCCTTAACTAAGCTAACCTAGTCTTAACTTAACCTACCTTAACATAGTCCTAAGCTAAACAAACAGAGCTTAACTTAACCTAACATAGTCCTATACTGTCATATCGTATACCTAAGGGTGAGTAAGGTCACTGTCATACACCTAAGGGCGAGTAAGGTCACTGTCGTATACCTAAGGGTGAGTAAGGTCACTGCAGTATACCACAGGGTGAGTAAGGTCACTTTTGTATACCACAGGGTGAGTAAGGTCACTTTTGTATACCACAGGGTGAGTAAGGTCACTGTCGTATACCTAAGGGTGAGTAAGGTCAATGTCGTATACCTAAGGGTGAGTAAGGTCACTGTCGTATACCTAATGGTGAGTAAGGTCACTGTCATACACCTAAGGGTGAGTAAGGTCACTGCAGTATACCACAGGCTGAGTAAGGTCACTGTTGTATACCACAGGGTGGGTAAGGTCACTGTAGTATGTCATAGGCCGAGTAAGGTCACTGTTGTTTACCTCAGGGTGAGTAAGGTCAGTGTAATATACCACAGGGTGATTAAGGTCACTGTCATACCACAGGGTGAGTAAGGTCACTTTTGTATACCACAGGGTGAGTAAGGTCACTGTAATATACCATTGGGTGAGTAAGGTCACTGTAGTATACCACAGGGTGAGTAAGGTCACTGTCGTATACCACAGGATGAGTAAGGTCACTGTAGTATACCACAGTGTGAGTAAGGTCACTGTCATATACCACAGGGTGAGTAAGGTCACTGTAGTATACCACAGGGTGAGAAAGGTCACTGTCGTATACCACAGGGTGAGTAAGGTCACTGTCGTATACCACAGGATGAGTCAGGTCACCGTGGTATACCCCAGGGTGAGTTAGGTCACCGTGGTATACCCCAGGGTGAGTCAGGTCACCGTGGTATACCCCAGGGTGAGTCAGGTCACCGTGGTATACGCCAGGGTGAGTCAGGTCACCGTGGTATACCCCAGGGTGAGTCAGGTCACCGTGGTATACCCAAGGGTGAGTCAGGTCACCGTGGTATACCCCAGGGTGAGTCAGGTCACCGCGGTATACCTCAGGATGAGTCAGGTCACCGTGGTGTACCCCAGGGTGAGTCAGGTCACCGGGGAATACCCCAGGGTGAGTCAGGTCACCGGGGTATACCTCAGGGTGAGTCAGGTCACCGCGGTATACCCCAGGGTGAGTCAGGTCACCGCGGTATACCCCAGAGTGAGTCAGGTCACCGTGGTATACCTCAGGGTGAGTCAGGTCACCGTGGTATACCCCAGGGTGAGTCAGGTCACCGTGGTATACCCCAGGGTGAGTCAGGTCACCGCGGTATACCCCAGGGTGAGTCAGGTCACAGTGGTATACCCCAGGGTGAGTCAGGTCATCGTGGTATACCTCAGGGTGAGTCAGGTCACCGTGGTATACCCCAGGGTGAGTCAGGTCACCGTGGTATACCTCAGGGTGAGTCAGGTCACTGTAGTATACCCCAGGGTGAGTCAGGCCATCGTGGTATACCTCAGGGTGAGTCAGGTCACCGTGGTATACCCCAGGGTGAGTCAGGTCACCGTGGTATACCTCAGGGTGAGTCAGGTCACTGTAGTATACCCCAGGGTGACGGTGGTGTAGTATACCCCAGGGTGAGTCAGGTCACCGTGGTATACCTCAGGGTGAGTCAGGTCACCGTGGTATACCCCAGGGTGAGTCAGGTCACTGTAGTATACCCCAGGGTGAGTCAGGTCACCGTGGTATACCTCAGGGTGAGTCAGGTCACCGTGGTATACCCCAGGGTGAGTCAGGTCACTGTAGTATACCCCAGGGTGAGTCAGGTGTAGTATACCCCAGGGTGAGTCAGGTCACTGTAGTATACCCGAGGGTGAGTCAGGTCACCGTGGTATACCTCAGGGTGAGTCAGGTCACTGTAGTATACCCCAGGGTGAGTCAGGTCACCGTGGTATACCCCAGGGTGAGTCAGGTCACCGTGGTATACCCCAGGGTGAGTCAGGTCACTGTAGTATACCCCAGGGTGAGTCAGGTCACCGTGGTATACCTCAGGGTGAGTCAGATCACTGTAGTATACCCCAGGGTGAGTCAGGTCACTGTAGTATACCCCAGGGTGAGTCAGGTCACCGTGGTATCAGAGAACAGTGGCCGGCCTGACTGTGAGAGCAGGGCTGGAGCCGGTTAGGACTCACAGAGAGCCGGGTGCCATGGAGACCAATCCCGCACGCCCTACGCCAAGCTGATCTGAGGAGATTAAGCTTACACCGTAGCTTAGCGCTGCTTGAGCTCACTTGTATAGCAGTAAATAAGGGAAGGCTACGGTGTAGATGTGTTAAGGGGGCTGGAAATAAGGAGGCAAAGGGGAAAATCTGACGTTTAGCAACTGGCTCCATGTCCTGGAACCCCGTTATAGTGGGGGAAGGGGGGGTTTGAGGGGAGGGGGAAGCCCGAGGGGACGTCAGATTCACAATTGGAGTAGGTTGTAAGATCAGATAAAGGTGTGGTGGAGGTGAGTGGGTGGAGGAGGAACAGGTTGGCAGGGAGTGAGGGGAGACTGGAGGGTCGGCCACTGTTGCTTGCGGCCGGCGGCGGCGGAGGTCCCTGAGCAGCGCTGGAGCCCCAGCCGCCAGCTACAGTTGCCGCCAATTTCAATATAAGAGATGCTCTAACGTCTATATCTTAACAATTTAAAGCACATCCACTGGTTCAAACAATTGTATTTTCGCTCGCACATCTTCGAGAAAGCTCGTGGATAATATAATAGGGGATTAAGCGTAATAGATGTGAGTAGAAGTGATGGAGTCGGCAGCGTGTGGCAACTGAGGGAGGGTGGGCGGCGCAAGTGCGCGAGGCGGCGAGTGCCAGAAGTGTGGCAGCGGGTCAGTTCGCCCGCGCCCGGGGCCTGGCCAGGTGCTCCGCTACACCCGTCGCGCGTCGCTGCGGGGCCCGCGCTGCCGGACGCCTCTCCATGCTGGCACTTAGTGTTCTGTGACCTGAGTCACCTCAGGGAAGGCGGTGAAATGATGCCACGGTGCCAGGGACGAGGGCAGGTCTAGCCAGGGAAGTGCAGGGTGCCAGGGAGGTGAGGGCAGGTCCTGAGGGCGGCCTGCGGCAGGGCAAAGCTGCGCGGGCTCTCCCGAGTGCGCGAGGCAGGCCGTGCCCTTGGCGAGTGTGTGAGAGTGCCCGAGGGCGCGAGTGTGTGTGTGTGGGGAGGAGGGAGTGTCAGAGAGGGCCCAGGGCGTCTCTGTGCGGCTGACGGGTGGGCGGCGCAGCGGCTACGCGACGCCTACTGCTGTCAGCAGCGCCTGGGAGCAGCAGCAGCAGCAGCAGCAGCAGCAGCACGACGAAGCTGTCAGGTGTGGGGGGGGTGGGGGGGCCTACCACCGCTAGCACGACACCATGAGGTAGCCTCCAAGGGCACCACAGGGCACTGACCCCCGTTGACCCCACCTCCAGGGGTAAAAACCCCCCCCTCGCCGACCCCTTTCCAGGGGGGAGCATCACGCCTGACCCGGGAGGGGGCCGCCGCCCCCCCTCCCCTGCACCCAGACCTGAGCAAATACATTTAAATTCAAACAATGTTTTAGACAAATTTGACTGCTGTATTCCCCTCTAGCTAGAGGGGGAAGCCTAGGAGGACCTAGGAGGACCTAGGAGGACCCAGGGGGACCTAGGAGAAGGCAGCCGAGGGGACACACCCTTTATTTCGGGGGGGCGGGACTCCCCCCTCCCCCCTCCCCCTCGCCACGTCGCTAGACGGAATTACAAATTGTGAGAGGACAGGCCCACAGGGAACTCTAGTCAAGCTGAAGGAACTGCTGACGAAGGTAAGCTGGAAAGGTCCCCAGCACCGTCACTTCTGCCGCTGGTGACACCAACCTCAGCTTTAGCAGGGGGGTAAAATGCTTCAATGTGGGTCAAAGCTTCTTTGTGGGTCAAAGTTTAAAGCTTTATTCGTGGGGTCAAGGCTTCGTCAGGGGGTCAAGGGTTCGTCTAGGGGTCACAGCTTCGTCTAGGGGGTCAAAGCTTCGTCTAGGGGGGTCAAAGTTTTGTCTGCGGGGGGTCAAAGGTTCGTCTAGGGGGGTCAAAGGTACGTCTAGGGGTCAAAGCTTCGTCTGGGGGTCAAAGCTTCGTCTTGGGGTCACAGCCTCATCTAGGGGGTCACAGCTTCGTCTAGGGGGGTCAAAGGTTCGTCTGGGGGGTCAAAGGTTCGTCTAGGGGGGTCAAAGGTACGTCTAGGGGGTTCAAGGTACGTCTAGGGGTCAAAGCTCCGTCTGGGGGTCAAGGCATTGTTAGGAATCAAAGCTTCGCTTTTGGCTGAAACTTCATTGTAGTCAAAGAGATGCATGGGATCAATGCTTCGTCTTGTATCAAAGCTTCGACTCCCTTTACTGTGGGGGACACCTTGCCTTACTGCGGGGACACCTTGCCTTACTGTGGGGACACCTTGCCTTACTGTGGGGGGACACCTTGCCTTACTGTGGGGACACCTTGCCTTACTGTGGGGGACACCTTGCCTTACTGTGGGGGACACCTTGCCTTACTGTGGGGGGACACCTTGCCTTACTGTGGGGGGACACCTTGCCTTACTGTGGGGGACACCTTGCCTTACTGTGGGGGACACCTTGCCTTACTGTGGGGGGACACCTTGCCTTACTGTGGGGGACACCTTGCCTTACTGTGGGGGACACCTTGCCTTGCTGTGGGGGACACCTTGCCTTACTGTGGGGGGACACCTTGCCTTACTGTGGGGGACACCTTGCCTTACTGTGGGGGGACACCTTGCCTTACTGTGGGGGGACACCTTGCCTTACTGTGGGGACACCTTGCCTTACTGTGGGGACACCTTGCCTTACTGTGGGACACCTTGCCTTACTGTGGGGACACCTTGCCTTACTGTGGGGGACACCTTGCCTTACTGTGGGGGGACACCTTGCCTTACTGTGGGGGGACACCTTGCCTTACTGTGGGGGGACACCTTGCCTTACTGTGGGGGACACCTTGCCTTACTGTGGGGGGATACCTTGCCTTACTGTGGGGGACACCTTGCCTTACTGTGGGGGGACACCTTGCCTTACTGTGGGGGACACCTTGCCTTACTGTGAGGACACCTTGCCTTACTGTGGGGGGACACCTTGCCTTACTGTGGGGGACACCTTGCTTTACTGTGGGGGACACCTTGCCTTACTGTGGGGGGACACCTTGCCTTACTGTGGGGGACACCTTGCCTTACTGTGGTGGGACACCTTGCCTTACTGTGGGGGGACACCTTGCCTTACTGTGGGGACACCTTGCCTTACTGTGGGGGACACCTTGCCTTACTGTGGGGGGATACCTTGCCTTACTGTGGGGGACACCTTGCCTTACTGTGGGGGGACACCTTGCCTTACTGTGGGGGACACCTTGCCTTACTGTGAGGACACCTTGCCTTACTGTGGGGGACACCTTGCCTTACTGTGGGGGGACACCTTGCCTTACTGTGGGGACACCTTGCCTTACTGTGGGGGACACCTTGCCTTACTGTGGGGACACCTTGCCTTACTGTGGGGGACACCTTGCCTTACTGTGGGGGACACCTTGCCTTACTGTGGGGACACCTTGCCTTACTGTGGGGACACCTTGCCTTACTGAGGAAACTCCTCCCCCTGAGGGGAATACCTTATCCTTATAGATATGGACATATATATATATATATATATATATATATATATATATATATATATATATATATAGTCCTGGAGGGAAGAAGGGAAATGTCAGAGTTGAACTGATGGAGTGCGACAGGAAGACACTTTCTGAGAGGCAATAGAAAAGGACCCACAGTTACATCAGGGAGAAATGGTGCTGAGAGCTGAGAGTAGGGATGCTGAGAGCTGAGAGTAGGGATGCTGAGAGCTGAGAGTAGGGATGCTGAGAGCTGAGAGTAGGGATACTGAGAGCTGAGAGTAGGGATGCTGAGAGCTGAGAGTAGGGATACTGAGAGCTGAGAGTAGGGATGCTGAGAGCTGAGAGTAGGGATACTGAGAGCTGAGAGTAGGGATGCTGAGAGCTGAGAGTAGGGATACTGAGAGCTGAGAGTAGGGATGCTGAGAGCTGAGAGTAGGGATGCTGAGAGCTGAGAGTAGGGATGCTGAGAGCTGAGAGTAGGGATGCTGAGAGCTGAGAGTAGGGATGCTGAGAGCTGAGAGTAGGGATGCTGAGAGCTGAGAGTAGGGATACTGAGAGCTGAGAGTAGGGATGCTGAGAGCTGAGAGTAGGGATGCTGAGAGCTGAGAGTAGGGATGCTGAGAGCTTCCCTTCTGTAAATTAATTCCCAAAATATATATTAGCATTTGGTACTATTCACTTAATAAGAGTCATAAAGAAAAAATAAAAGCACCAAATGTTACTATTCCCAGGCCTATTCTAGCACATATATGTACTATATAAGGCCTTAGAGAGCGTGTATGATGGTTAGGTTAAGGCTTTATAGCTACCAAAAAAAAAATAATACAGAAAAAACTTTTTGAATTTGTGTCAAATTCAATAGTACGAAATTGTACTGTCTAATTGTTCATTACGTCAATATATGGACGATAGTACACATGGTTAAGTAGTGTCGAGAGAGGAGGACGGGCTGTATAACTATGGGTGCTGGGAGAGCTGAGATAGAGGGAGTCGGTTGGTGAGAGATAAGAGAGAGATTCTGAGAAATGAGATGAGAGATGAGAGGAGGGGTTGGTAGAGAAGAGGTATAAGGGAGGGAACAGAGTGAGACAGGGAGGGGTGAGAGAGAGAGGGAGACAGGGAGGGGTGAGAGAGAGAGAGAGAGAGAGAGAGGGGTGAGAGAGAGAGAGACAGGGGCGGGTGAGAGAGAGAGAGAGAGAGAGAGAGAGAGAGAGAGAGAGAGAGAGAGAGAGAGAGAGAGAGAGAGAGAGAGAGAGAGAGAGAGAGAGAGAGAGAGAGAGAGAGAGAGAGAGAGAGAGAGAGAGAGAGAGAGAGACGAGAGAGAGAGAGAGAGAGAGAGAGAGAGAGAGAGAGAGAGAGAGAGAGAGAGAGAGAGAGAGAGAGAGAGAGAGAGAAAGTAGGAGTTACGAACCTGTGATAACTTGGTCCAACAGGCTGTTGCTTGAAGCGGCCCGCAGGCCCACATATCCACTACAGCCTGGTTGGTCCGGCACTTCTTGTAGGAACCTATCTAATTGTTTTCTGAAGAAGTCCACGGTTGTTCCAGCAATATTTCTAATGCTCGCTGGGAGGGTGTTGAACAGCCGTAGACCTCTGATGTTCAGACAGTGTTCTCTGATTGTGCCTATGGCACCTCTCCTCCTCACTGCTTCTGTTAGACGCCTGTGGATTCAGTGGAATCTGATTACGGGCTCACCATAGCCCGTGCTACATGGACACTTCCTCCTGAGTAGCTAAATCTTAAACAACAACAACAGTGGAATCCCTTTTCTGATACCATGTCATGGTCCAGAGGTAAGGTGGGCGGCTTGCGAGTTCCCAAGTCAAGGGTTCGAATCCCCTCATTGCTCCAAATGATTTTAGCAGTTACATTGTTAGAGGTTTGGATATTATTCATATAGAAGCTATCCTGATCATCCATTTTCATGTTGTTTATTGGGGTGGTAAACATAACCTAACCTAACCTTTTAGGTCAGTATGAGGTTACTTAGTACTTCACACATTTCTGTGTCATTCTCTGTGTATGAACCCGCAGGCTGTTAACACAGGTCCCATACAAGTGGAGATTTGTTTATCTTGATTTTGTGTAAGTTAAAAGATATTTAGGATTTTCCCTTTATCTCTTGAATAGCTGTTTAGCTTCCATTTCCTCGGACTGATATGATAGCTTCAGCTATCTCTAACCTCTAACAAGATTTAACTAATTTCTAACTAATTTCTAACTCTAACTAATTTCTCTAACCTCCACAAGGGCCAGATTGAAGGTTTGAGATTCACGAAGCAGTTACGCAAGCACTTACGAACGTGTACATCTTTCCTCAATCTTTGACGGCTTTGGTTACATTTATTAAACAGTTTACAAGCATGAAAACTTCCCAATCAACTGTTGTTATTGTTATAAACAGTCTCCTGGTGCTTCGGAGCTCATTAACTGTTTAATTATTGTAAACAAAGCCGCCAAAGATTGAGAAAAGATGTACAGGTTCGTAAGTGCTTGCGTAACTGCTTCGTGAACCTTGGTGTGTAGAGTCGTTTGGGTTCTCTTTCTATGTATGATTCTCTTTCTCACTCTCCACCAAAAGGCACATGTTTCAAGCAGACATGTGGCTTGCATCGGCAGTCGCATGTGTGGTTGTGCAAATTGTGTGTGTGTGTGTGTGTGTGTGTGTGTGTGTGTGTGTGTGTGTGTGTGTGTGTGTGTGTGTGTGTACTCACCTAATTTTGCTTGCGGGGGTTGAGCTTTGGCTCTTTGGTCCCGGTGTGTGTGTGTGTGTGTGTGTGTGTGTGTGTGTGTGTGTGTGTGTGTGTGTGTGTGTGTGTGTGTGTGTGTGTGTGTGTGTTTGTTTTGTCACGCAAGACTCGCTTCTGTTGGCTGTTTGCTAGGTCTTGTTGTGGTCAGACTATGATGTACTTCAGTGAAAGGTACCATTCCATTGGGTACAGGTTAATGGGTGGGTGTGGTACCCTTGGGTACAGGATACTGGTTGGGTGTGGTACCCTTGGGTACAGGGTACTGGTTGGGTGTGGTACCCTTGGATACAGGGTACTGGTTGGGTGTGGTACCCTTGGGTACAGGGTACTGGTTGGGTGTGGTACCCTTGGATACAGGGTACTGGTTGGGTGTGGTACCCTTGGATACAGGGTACTGGTTGGGTGTGGT